TATCCAATTTTGGGCGGATAGCAAAGGGTACCCTACGAGGTTTCAGACGGATGGGTATTGCCTCAGGATCTACACTGAATGAAATAGGGATGCCTAAGTAACACCCCAACCCTTCGCTGAATACATCAGCATAGTCTCTGAATATGGTATCCACTTCAGTATTTGAAACAGTGTGGATGCCTGTTACGTTGAGACCAAGAGCAGGGATCCAGTCTAATCCTAGCAGACTAGGGAGGGCACCATCCACTACAACTAGAGGCAAGTGACCTTTAAAGTTTTTGAATTGAATAAAAAACTTGCCTTTTCTGAGGACTGGGATGGTTCTGCCTTGGTAATCATGCAGAGTCAGGTGGCAGTCGAGGAGCTTCTTCTTTGACAGCCTTGGAAGTAGCTTCTTCAGGGTTTCCCAGGAAATGATGGATAGTGCAGAGCCTGTGTCAACTTCCATCTTTCAGGGTTTACCTTCTAAGGAAACAAAAATACTGATTTTGTTAGAGCCTTGGGTCGTCTGATTTGAGTGGTAACAGGTATATCAGTCTTCAACTTGCCTTTGAAAGATAGGGGTTGTCTGAGGCCTCTGTGCAAAAGTTTTCCCAGCTTGGCAGACCCTGGCTAAGTGACCCTTCCTTTGGCAATTCAAGCAAATGGCATTCCTGAACTTGCAGGATGCCCTGAGGTGGCTTCCTCCACAGCTCAGGCAGATGGGCTGTTGCCGGGGGGGGATAGGTTGGGTTTTGGCCTCGTTTCCTCTTGAAGGGGTTTCTGCTGTCTGAGGCGATTTATATCGTTTGATTCCTCAGAGCCCTCATCTAGAGAAACCTCATCAAAATGGATTGCTGAACTACTTTGTCTAATGGGGTTCCCCTGGATTTCTGCTGCTGACAGCGCAGATAGCTCAGCAGCCTGTGATTCTTTGATGGCTACTGCCAGGGTTAAGTCTTTTTTAGCTAATAATCATCTTTGTAGCCTTAAATCCCTGACCCCACAGACTATTTGGTCAAGGAACATATCCTCCAGATAGTCTCTAAATCCACAATGCAAGGCAGCTGACCGCAGGGCAGCCATATATTCACTGATAGACTCCCCCTCAGCCTGAATTCATCTCCTGAAGGCATGTCTCCTAGCGATTTGGGATGGCTTAGGGGAGTAGTGACTGGAAAGGATCTCCTGTAACTCCTCCCATGGGATAGCCCTGACAGAACGTGGAGCTACCAATGCCGTGGTGGTGTCAAATACCATGGCTCCGCAGAAGCTTAAGAAATAGGACTTCTTCCTATGGTCTGTGGCATCAGCAAGGTCTATAGCATCCAGGAAGCAGTCAAAACAGTTCCTATAGGACTCCCAAGTCTCAGCCGTCGGTCGGAAAGGTGGGAACGCAGGGTTCAAAGTCATCTCATGTCTGCGGTATCTGTCTCCTCAGTGGGCAGATTGAATTTCGTGCTCACGAATGGCGTCTGAGGCTGTGACAGTCAGCTCGTGGTGGCTTCAGCTCTTTTTGAAAGTGACTGAGCTCAGCTGTTCTTGTCTGGCTGCCTCTTATTTGTATCCCGCCCTCATCGCCAGTGTTGTGGAGTGGCGGATAATACTGAGGCAGACACGGAGCGAACAGTCAAGAAAGCTTTATTCAGCGAATAAAGGGTTGCCGCAGCTGCCGGGGCTAACAGGCAGTCAGCTGGCGGCAACAGCTGATGCTGTTTGATAGCTCCTTTTATAGCCGGCTGTCAAACGGCATCAACCAATGGGAAGTGCGGACCAGATTGAAGACTGCGGTCAGTCTGTGAACGCAACAGTATACATTCTCCTGCTTGAGCAGCGGGCTGGACTAGAAGACCTCCAAGGTCCCTTCCAGCTCTATTCTATTCTAATTCTATTCTAAGACTACAGCAGCTAACCAGTACTCAAACTAATATGAAGTCTGGAAATTATGTGAGTATAATCAAATACATTTTTAAGAGTCCATTAGGAAATGCAGCGATGATATACATTTTTTTAAAACTAGCCTAGGTTTGGGTGTAATGCTTGATCCCCACTTTTTCACAAACACAATAGCTTGCTTCCCAGAGTTCTGGGTTCTCCATCACTGGAGGTTCTCAAATTTAAATCTGAGAACCATTTGAACCATTGACTTTGATAAGGACTCCTGCCTGGAGCCAAAGGTTGTAGTAGAAGATCACTGAGGTCCTTTCCAGACCTTTGATTCTATGTGTTATCTATTCTGCTATCCTTGGAATTGGCATAGAGCATTTCTGAAGTATTTTTCAAGGAAACTTTCACCTAATATAAATATGTGTCTCCTTTAAAATGGTGTAGTACCACTTGCAAATCTTCATCAAATATGTGGCACCTGTTTAGCTACTTAAATGGGTCTTGATGTGTGGAAGGATATCCAAGCAATATTTTCTGTTTACCCTCACCTGTCTTTTTTTTTCATTGTTTTGCTGAGAAGGGAACTTATCATAATGTGTTTTCATTGCACTGCCATCTGCTTTATATTGAAAACACGGTGGTAGAGCAGATACAGTTTGAAGGGTACCTCATATATGTTTTCCCTTGCAGAAGACTGACTCTTGGTTGCCTCAGATTTCTTATTAATTGTATTTTCTGTTTATAATGTTGTAAAAAAAAATAACAGAATATAGTTCTGCTCTAGGTTTTCATAAATAACATTTCAGTTGCTATTACGAACTGCTGTTTGACTATGGTATTGTTACAAATATACTGTATGTCTTAGCTAATTGTATCTATAATGTAAAAGGAAAAATAAATGAAGTTCTCCAAACTCTAGTGTATAGTGAATTAAAACAGTGAATGAAAAAAATATTTTCTGTATTATTTCTGTATTATTTTATGATTAGTGAAAATATATTTCTCAAATTGAAAGCTGCGAAAAAGAAGAGAAATACAATCACAAGTTGTGTTTAGCTTTCATTCTTTCTGCTTTTAGGAAATCTGTAAAGCAGATCTTTGTAGCCAAGCCTTTAAAGACCAACACTTTTATTTTTTGTTTTACTATGTGTCTATGGAGATTCTCAGTCATCCAGGTCATGGTTGTCCCAAATATGCTTTTTCAAGGGGCAACTGGCTTTTCTGGCTTTTCTTTGAAAGCTGAAGAAACTTCTTGGCTGAGAAGCGAAACATCTTCAGAGAAATATGTTTAGCTATGAGTTTTACTATTTGTAAAGTTGTGTTTTCTGCTTGTATGTTTTAAATTAAAAGTCCCTCTAAGTATTCATTTGAATGTAGCACTTAAATTAAAAATGTTTTGTGTGGTAGCTAGATTTAAAGTCTTTTTAGGATTTTCTTTTTTATACTAGTGCTTGATAAAATTTATTCTTTGTTGTAAAATTTACCTTTCTTCTGATAAATTAAAAGTTTTTGCTTTTCAGAGGTGATATTTTGTAAAAAAAATCAGTCATTTTGGTTTTCTGCTTGCATGAATTTTGGTATTTATTTCAGTTGCCAAATATATAATTTGTGGTCTGAACACTTCTCAGTTTTCTTTTAAAGTTGGAAACACATGCAGATTATCAGAATGCCACTTTTGTTTTTTTCTTTTCTCTCAGGTCATCAGATTTTGGAACATTATATACTAAACTAAACTTACAGCCTGGAATTATTACAGTCATCGAAAATTTCTACATCTGTCCTGTTAACAAGAAGAAGGTACGCGGATAATTGTTTATTTCAATAGAAGAGCCCAGAAAAAAATGTGTTTAGCAAAATAAATTTCTAGCAAAGTTTGTCAGTCATGTGTACTGTAGTCTGAAAAAGAAACTGTTAGAAGTATTAAATACATAGAATTAAAAGTTGACTAGGAATTATCTAACTGTAATCAAGTCATAATTGTGCTAATTCTAGGTGGATTTATTCAAGCACGAGAAAATGACAACAATATATATGAAAAAGTAAAAGCAGGCAATACTATATCCTAGAGCTTAAATAATATAAATACAAAAATGTACAAAACAAAAACAAAATCCTGAAGATATGAGCAGGAGGAAACAATAATTTATTTGAAAGTATTTCATAACACCAGGCAGGGTTAAGGTTAAAGTGTAGTTCTTAATTTCTGAAATCCTTTAATTATTTGTTGCACAGATGACAAATACTTTCTTTGGCACTGCAACTCTGTCATCAGATCTTGAATCTACTTGAACAGCTTTTCTGGGAGAGGGCAATAGGATGAAAATAAGTTATTCTTTCCCTCTTATAGTACCTCATCCTCAAACAATTTGCATCCTCCAACCTCCTTATCACTCTCTATAGTATATATTTTTCTTGGTGAATAAACATGTAATATTTTTCTTAAAATGTAAGTTGGCCTTATCTTATACTGTATATAATAATGCAGAGTAGAATTGCATAGAGAAAATTTTATGTGTGTATCATTCTGTGAAATGGAATTTATCTGAGAACTAACAAAACAGTATTTCCCTAAATTTTACCCATATCAGGGACAAATATCAGACTTATTCCCAGCTTGCCTGTACCTCTTTTATTTATTTTGTCCAATGCAAGGTTCTAAAACATATTTGAACGGTATCTTATTTCAGAGGAATTCTGTAGCTTAATTGTGACAATCTAAGCAGATGTGCTCTAAAACAGCCATTAATTATTCAATATTCTGTGAGACAGCTTTTTAAAAATTAAAATGTTTTCACTTAAAAACTATAAAATGTTTTACTTATAACAAGGAAAGGAAGAACACTTCAAAATATTCTGTATAAATAGGCAACAGAACAAAAGGATCCCAGCACAAATATTGCAACATAGCATAGGATAGGAACGATTATAAACAATTGGAAAAAGTTTGGACAGAAAAGACTTCCATACACCAATTCAATTCTCACTGTAGAAGCTAGTTTTGTGTGGCAGTCAGGAATAATGAAAATGTTGCCTACATTTCCCCCCATGTTTCTCCTCTCCTGCTAGATAGATAACTGGATGTGCGTTTTATGCTATTGACCTTTATAGTTACTTCCTTCCTAGAAATCTTCCACAATCCCATGTGATATTATAATGTGATGAAGCAATATGCACCTAGTTAACTACAGGCTCCTTGTTCATGCATTGAACTGGTTTCTTGTAAACCCCTTAGAGTCTTAGACTATTTCCAGCACATGACATATTGTATCTTTGTTCTTGCTGATGTGAAATAGTTTGCTTCTTGAAGGCTAGAAGACATAGGTGGTTGGTGCTATAATTAACTATAGATTAAGTCATTTTTGTAAATGTTGAATCTGTCAAAAACTCTGAATTCTTCATTCTTTACTTGTAGCTTTTGAAAAAAAAACCTTGTTTCCATTTCCTGTTCTGAATACACTGCCCTCTTTGTTAGGATGGAACGGAGCATTTCTAAGATTGCAAGACTTTCTGGCTTTCTTTGTGTGTCACTCTTGTTTTACTGCCCAAGCCAGACAATAATTAAAATTTTGTTAGGATGAGACCATCAGGCATGCTTGAAGGAACGTGAGAAATTATAGACTGCTGTTAAATGGAGTGACCAAAGCTGAAAACATTTTGATAATGCTTGGTAATTTGGCTTATTTGTCAATCAGTTGTTTCAGATGACATTTGAAGGTCAGTTGGAGTCAAAGATGCCTGAAGCTGGAGTTTGGAATGTAATGAATGCTTCTCACTTCTCATGGCATGCCATCAATTATAGGTTGTCTCAAGACAAAAGAATCGTTAGTGCTTTTAAAGCTTGATCATTAGTAAAGAGGTTATAGTATTTATCACAGAAATAGTCAAGAAAATATAAGGTTGCAATGTAACCAAGGAAGTCCTAATGATAGCGAAGATCCTTCAGCTTAAAGATCTTATTACTGTCAGGTCAGTGATCAAGACCAGCACTTTCATCCAGTACACACTCAGGCATGATGTAGGATGCTTCTTGTCCTGGAGCTTTTCAATGACTATGCTGAGGTTGCCCAGTCAGGAAAAGCTCAGAACATCAACTCTGCCTAGGCAACCATGGATGCATCACGACTAGTATGTTTGGGAAGAAAAGAAGAGTACTATAGACGATGTTTTGAGATATCTGACACTAAGTCTGATATTCTAATATGGATGTGGGTGGAGAATTTGTTGGATTAAATGGGATTGTAAAAGAACTTTCCCAATGCTCTTTTTAACATTTAAAAACTATTCAGACAGATTAGCTTTAGAGAACAATGTTAGGAAAAGAGCATGTATTTGCCTCCCCAGTATTATTTTCCTAATTAAAATTCTTCACATCTCCACAAGCTGCTAAGAGCTTAACGGGGAAGTATGGGGTAATGAATTTCTTCTTTTACTCCATGTCTGCTTTTTAGGATATTTTAATGCCATTGGTATTGTTTCTTTCATTCTGTTACTCTGTTTTTCTCTTTTCCAATCCAGGTGTTTATTTTCTAATTTCTTGTATGATCAGAATTGTACGTTGCCCAGAGTAACTTTTTGTAGTGATTTAAATGGAATAAACAAAGAAATAAATTGCAACAAGACTGCATGCAATCAGTTTGGGAAAAATAGTTAAAAGGTTTTCATTTACTTATTATGATATAGATTTAGAATAATAATATTACCCAACATTATTTTCCCTGTCATTAAGCAGGGAAAGCCGGGAAACAGCAAAGGTTATGAAAAAGAACTAAATTATAAATTATTAAGTGGAAAAATGTAGAAATTGTATGACCATGCAGAGAGGAAAACTGTAACTAAAAGGATAGATTTCATATTATCATGAGGAGGAGTGTGGGAAAATGTCAGGGAGCCAGAGTTTTTGGGCACAGTCACAGTCTGCTTAGGAAGCCAAGACTGAATTGGAGCCAACATGTAGAGATCTTCCAATGAAAAGGATCACAGACAATTTCAAATTTGTTAAATAACATGGCACAATTAAGAAAGTTACAAAGAAGTGAATAAAGAGGAAATTGTTAGATTAAGATCAGTCTCCTGTGACATAAAGTGTGCTTGAGTCTTTTAAACTACCCCAGTGATGACAGAGGCCTTTCTCCAGGTACTTAATAGTCTTGTCTTGACTTTCAGATTTACCATAGCAAATAATAGATCAAAAAAAGAAAAGAAAATCAGACTCTCATTCGCATTTGTTGTAATGGAAGCTTAATGGATCCTAAAACACTGAACTCTACAAATTTTTATCTGATAATAGATTTGCTAATCCATACTAGTAGTACCCTAAAACCTGGGAGGAGGTTGCAGGGATGGCTTTGGAAGCACCTGGAATATTTTACTACTCTTCTGCCTTATATATATTTATGCCTACTAAAATAAATATCCAAATATAAAGATATTGCAAACTGGATATATAGTGAAGATGCAACTTTGGATTGTAAATGCAGATGATAGTACAAACAATAAATTTTGTATAATTGGTAAAATCCTTATTTAAACAGTACATTTATATTATTCCCATGTATGTCCAGGCTTTTCCCTTTCTATGTTCCCCATCTATTTCTGTCTGAGAGCCTGCTTATTCTGTAATGGAAACTTGATGAAATCATACAAAGCTTTTGAAGACAGATTTATACAGTCCTTAATTACAAACCATCCAAGTTGCCACTTTTAGCTCTGGCTTTTATTCAGCAAGAGATTTAATTAGCCACTCCACAAATTTCCCTCCTCCACTCACCTGGCTCACTTTTCTCACAGATGAAAGAGATGTTATGTATCACATTCCAGAAAATTCTTTGTAGCTGGGAAGCAGGCACAAGGCATTTGAAAGTCATTCTGCAGATTAAAAAGGGAAAAAAAGGCATTTAGGAACTGCCAAGTAACAGGAACAGGCCACCACTCTAAGCCAAATGCCCCCTGAAGTGTCTTACGGAAACATTCATTTAGAGAACTCCTTCTCTCCCTTGACCGTTTAAAGTCCTTTGTTTCCCCTCTGCAGTTCTGGACTTTTTCTCTCTGTGTAGATTAGCTTTCCTTTAGGGTCTGGCATGCAGCAACAGTGTTGGGATGGGAGGAAAACATGTGGACATAAAAGGTGCCATTTCCTTTAGCCTACCTTTTAGAGTGCCTCAGCAAGGTTGCTGTCATGCCCCTGGTGGAGTCTGACTCGGAGGAAGAGGAGGAACAGCCAACAGGGAGTGGGAGTGCGGCTCCAGAGGTGGTGGAGGAGGCTGGGGAAGGGCAGAGGCCGGCTGAGCAGTCAGTGGAGGATCCAGGCCCATCCCCTATCCATCCTAGGTCATGCAGAGAGGAGGTGATCAGGGAAAAGCGAGGTCTACTCAAGAGGAGATTACCATGATCCTCCTCATGGCTTGCAGGTGGGAGCTATGTATATAAGTTTGCAACTGCGCAGTTAGAATTTGCAGGAGTCATTTTAGTGTTCACCTTGAAAGAATGTTATTTTTGCTGGCGTTCTTCCCATGGACTTTTCTCGGTTATTTTCCTGGAGTTTATCTTGGCTTGCTAGTTATCTTGGCTTGCTTCAGAACTCTCATCAATGCGGTTTGTTTTGGTTCTCTGTTTGCCTCATTATTTACTTCTGTGACTTTAAACTGGGCCTAATAAAACAGTGAAGTTAAGTTGAAGGCTTTACCGGACTTTAATATATGTTTTGGGTTTGGGGTTATTTTGAGAGACTACGGGTCATCACAGTTGCCCTCTCAGCAAGTAATGGGGATTATCTCAGGGCTGCTTTTCTTCTCTTCCCA